GGGGGAAGAGTGGAGGATTGCTGCGGTGGCTTCACCCTTGGCCTGCAGCGCTTGGCAGGAGGGGCAGCGATTTCATTTCTCACCCTATGCCAGCACGTCGCTAGCAGGAGGGAGTGGGCACCCTGAACCGGGGCCCTGCAGAGAGGGGGAGCACCAGCAGCAGCTGGGTGCCACTCGACGATGCTCCACATGGCGTATGAGGGTGCCAGTGCCAGGCTCTAATGATCTTCCTTCTTTCGATCCTCCAGCAGCTGCCCGGTGCACGTCCCAGGCCTCCCCTCTCTGCGTTGAGCCTGCCCTGACTTCACGCTCTTAAGATGGCAAACGGCCACAGCAGGCGTCAGCCCCAGCCCGGGGACCTGATCGAGATCCACCGGCCAACTTACCAGCACTGGGCCCTCTACCTGGGGGATGGGTACATCATCAATGTGGTGCCTCCAGGTAAGGCTGGTGCAGCCCAGCAGGATGCAGAGGGGACCTTGGGGTGACCTGGGAGCCTTGTATCCCTCCATGGGTCATTTGAGGACCTTGTGTGTGTAGATGGTGTTTCCAGTGCCAAGTCAGTGTTCACCGGAAGGGCCTGGGTGAGGAAGCAGCTCCTGAAGGAAGCGGTGGGAAACGACAGGTACTGCATCAACAACAAGTACGATGCCATCTACACTCCCCTCCCGCTGAAGGACATCATCCGGCGTGCTGAGCGCTTAATTGACCGGGAGGTGTGCTACGACGTGCTCACCAACAACTGCGAGCACTTTGTGACGATGCTCCGCTATGGCAAGCCTGACTCCGAGCAGGTAGGTAACACGGGGTAAGCCCTTGCATGCCTCACGGTGCACCTCCTTTCTGCTCTGGGTGAGCCCCTGGACAGGGGCACAGCATGCAAACTTCATGGGGACAGCAAAGCCCCAGGGCTGGAGTCCAAAATGTCACTGTCTTCGGCCTCCCCGGAGACCTTGGACTAGGAAGCTCACTACATGGTCTGTCTGCACCCTGACAGCGCCTTCTTAATGCCACAGCCTAAGGGTAAAAGCCTGGGTGTTACCCCTGCTGCTTATCGGTCAGGTGTCTCTCACTTATTTGTGTCATTATTTCTGCCTGCTCTTCATTAGCATGCCTGGGGGTGAAAAAAAAACAAAAACCAAAACCAAACAAGCAAGCTCATCATGTTTCCAGCCTGCCTTTTACTTTCGCTTTGTAGGTCACCCGAGGGGTCACTATCGCTGGTATTGTAACAGCTGTCGTCGGTGCCTTCGCCTTGGTGGGCTTGGCCTTGAGCAGACCCAAAGAGAGACACCACTGATGGGCTGCTGGGACCAGATTGGAGCAGGACCCAGGACATTTGTGGCCTCAACTGCCACCAACACTAACAACTGTCAGCCTTGCTGAGCGCTAACCTGTTTGTCGCATCTGCTTGTGCTTAATTTCCTGTGATGATTTTTTGTGGTAGTTTTGCAAGTGCCATCCTCACACCCCTGGTGCTATGCTGAGGACTGGTGCAGCCTTTCTACGCACATGCTGGTTTTTATTGGCCACGTACTGTGAGATAATTCTGTGAACAACCTATTTTAATCTGCTTAAATAAATATTTTAAATTGGATATTACTTTTGAATTAAAAAAAAAAAAAAGAGTAAAAAGTATTGCTGAGAGTTTATTGTGCGTCCTGTGGCTGAGAGCCTGTGCAAGAGGAAAGCCCTGGGTTCCTGGGCTGGGGGAGGGGGGGGAAGGGGGGGCAGACGAGGCGCACGCTCCGTGTGGGAGCCTGTGCCTGAACTGGGCTGCTCCTGCAAGGGAGGGAGGCAGGAAGGAAGGGCAGGTCTTGCAGACCACGTTCCTCGGTGTTTGAAACAAGTGCTCGGGTTTTGGTGTGACAGGGCTTTGCTCAGTTTTCTCCTGCCTGCAAAGCATCCCTTTCCCTGCCTCCTCTGCTCCCCTTCGGGAGCAGCAGGCCCCCAGTTTGGGGAGAGGGGGTCTTTTGTCTAGCCTATTCTGGTAGATGCCACTTATCATCTTTAATTTAAATAGGTGTACCACCATCTTCTTATCCTTTGGAGCTACTCCAGTCCCCAATGAGATTTGTAAGTCCTTCCCCAGTAAGTTCACTCCAGCCTCTGGTATCACTATAAAGTTGGTTATAACTCCTTTGCTGTTCTCCTGGATCATTACTTGTACCAGGAACCCTTCCCCTTTTATTCCAGCTATGCTAGTTGACTTGACCTCTCGGCTCCCGCGTCTACTAAAAAATACATATTCTTCCTTCTGGGGTCCTAATTTTAAATAATGAAGGTAGAGCCCCGACACCCCTATGCCTGCTCATTCCATCATCTGGAACACCCTACTCTCTTTTTGTCTCATTGGACATTCTCTTTAAAATGTCCTTCTCTTCCACAATAGAAGCACCCCTTGGGGTCCACATGCCACCCGGGTTGGGTCTCTCTTTGCCCTTGTTGGGTCCTAAAGCCCCTACGTGGAATGATGTTATTTGCAGACCACATGTAAGAAATCCTGTGTTGCTTTTGGCAACTGCCTGGGCTGTAGGAGGAGGTGAGAGCAGAACACTGTCTGTAAGAGGCTTGCTACTTTTATCTGCTCTTAAAGGGATCAGAAGCTTTTTTAAAAAACATTTTTTAAGCATCAGTTTTTTCAATGTTTGAAACAAAGCCAAGGCTCCTGGTTGGGTTTTGTAGTGCCCTCTGTTATTACATTTAAATAAATTTCTTCTTTTTTAACATGGGGAAACATATTATAATCAAACAGCACCTGAAAGTCCTTTTTTGCTTCCTGCAAATGTGACCAAAAGTTCTTTCGTGGCTAAACTGGTGAGGTGGTTGGACAATTTGAAGACGAAAGAGCAAGTGCAGAGGGGCTCAGCATCTTGTGCCTGACCAGCAGCCGTGTGCCAGAGCACGCTAAAACCCCGTTAAACCGAGTTAAAGCAAGACACAAGGGTTAGCCCTGCGTTCTGCCGTGTGACGCCAAACCTCCGCCAGGACCGGCAGCGGCAGAGCACAAACGGCGGTGTCACATGCGCGTGTACAGCAGCCCCGGGGTCCTCTGCCTGTGGAAATGGAGGTGGGGGTATATCCCTGTCAGCGTTCCCAGCCTTGTCTCACGGCAGTCCTCCCGCTTTAAACTTTCTTGTGCTCAGAGCACCGTGTCTGCAAAAGCTGGCAAGGGAGAGCCGGGCAAGAATAGCATATGGGCCTTCTCAGATGCGTCATCCACTCCAGGATGCAGTAAAACAGGGATGACCTCATCCAGGAAACTTTCTAGTAGTTCTCAGAAGCGGCAGCGTTTCTCATAATGAAGGGGTTTGCAATTGCACACGGTCCTCTGCACAGCCAAGATTAGGTCTCTTAATTTGCATTGGCCGGGGGGTGCATTGACAGGATTTGGTGGAGCAGTGGCTGAAACAGGGAGTGAGACCATGATGTGGAGCAGCAGAAGCCACTACGTTGCTGTATTCAGTATTTTTGAGCCTTTGTAGGAGAAGTTGTACCAGCAGCTGAGAGAATAATCCTTGCCTGTGCTCTGGGACACAACCAGTGCAGGCCCAGTCTGCCCCTGAATGGCCGGGTTTGTGCAGGGGTTGCAAATATCTGAATATGGTGCACATCAAAGGATGAAAAGATGGGCTGTTCAGTGTAAGTCGGGGAAGCCGCCGGCACGGCGCAGACCCGCGCCTGGCTGCAGGGTCTCGCCTACTCCTCATCATTGTGTTCATAGGTGGGGTTAATGTAAATCTCATCCGTGCTTTTTGCTGCAAAGTCTTTTCCGTTTACGGGAGGCCAGTTGGGATCCCTCTGCAGCATCCTCTGCCATTTTCGATACTGGCTCTTCGACTGGTACCCAAACCAGGCTTTAAGCAGCATCCAGAGGCGCTTGTTCTGCAAGATAACGTCCTGCGGAGTGACAGGGTGCAGGGTCAGTGCTGCTGCCCTTCACTAGGAGGAAGGACCACTTGGGGACAAAAGCCATCCCTCACCGCACGTGCAACCCCTGAGCCCCAGGGGGGCACGGCGCTGGGTGCCTGCGTGCGCTCCCCTGCGGTACCACGGCTGCCAGATGCCACCGCCCTCATCCACAGGAAGGCTCTGTGCGGTTATATCAGGACAACACTGATCTGAGCCTGTTTGGCTGAAGGGGATAATCAAGGGGATATTCAAGGGGCGGTGGGATGACCCGGCACTGTTGCTGCTTCCCAGGACAATACCCAGTGCTGGACGCAGCCCGTGCCCCCACCAGGGGTGACGCAGCCAGCCTTGACCCACAGAACGATTTAGGGCTTAGTCAGTATTGCAACATCCAACGGCACAAGGCAGTGCAGGCTCTGATGGCTTGTAGAGCAAGAGGGAAGCAGTGGATTTAAAATCTGTGCCAAGCACACGACCCGTGCCGCGGTCTGGTCCCCCGCGAGCCAGGGCAGTGCGCTCCTCCTGGGCAGCTGCCCCTCCGCTCGCTCTCCCTCTCTAAAGGCTTAAGAGATGCGGTCTAAATAATCTCTGGTGCTGCACAAAATGGATTTGATTGACGCAGACTGAGTCTTATGGGGAAAGAAAAAAAAAAAAAACCCAAACACGAGGGTTTATGCTTCTGCAGGAGGAGAGCGTTGATGCAAATAGGGGTAGAAAGACCTGACTAGATGCTGCTCTTGTTTACCCGGGGGACAGAGGGTGAACAAATGCACTCACCTCCGTAAAAAAAGATATGCAAAAGGTGGCCAAGAGCATCAGTAAGATGTAAACTCTCCAGATCACAGGAGTGCAAAGAAACTGTTGGAAAATACATGAACAGCAATTAGGTTTAAATGCCTTGCCAAGATTTGCATCTATTCCTAATGATTTGAGAGGGTGACTAACATTTTCCCAGTGGCAAGCATGGAGGAGGCAGTAGGAAGTGACAGTAATTCCTTGTCGCAGCGATCTTGGAAGGTTTGATGCCAGATTCCCCATGGCACGGAGCTGCCTAAATCACCCTGGCTACTTAAGCTACTGCTAAAACCTGCAGATCAGGTGCCCCGGGCAGGATCCGCTGCCCAAATACTTCTGGGTAGCTGCAGCTAACGCACAACGTGCAGCTCCTCTCCCTCTGTGGACGCTCGCCCTAACGCCAGGCCCCCATCTGTACCCACCCCACGCAGGATGGCCGGGGACGAGCCCACAGGCCTCGGCCGTTGTCGGCAGCAGGCCCGGAGGCAGCTGCCTGCGCTGTGCCCTGGCTGAGCGCCCAGGAGACCCGCCGTCTCATGTCAGCTCACGCTGCTGCAGGAAGGGAGGGGGGCAGCAGCAATCCCTGCCCCCTCGCTTTTCTGGCCAGCGAGCCTCCTCGTGTGTGCGAAACCACGAACCGCCCTTTTGTTTTTTTCTGTTAAGAAGAAAAGCTGGGCAAGCCCTAAGCACTTTTTCCTCTTCCTGTTGCCCCCCAAGTCTTTAGAGGAGAGGAGGACTACCTCACTAATCAAGTCCTTGTCAGAAGGATGTTAGAGAAGTTTGAAAGGGCTGCGCAGGCAGCACGGTCCGAGATGACTGTAGCTGTAGCTTCTGCTCTGTAAGCTTAGGTGAAGGGCCAGCAAAACACGTGGCATGAAAAGGAAACGAAAAGGAAATGCACATTCCGCTTGCGCTTACCTGCATGGCACTGTACACAGCATCGATGTCGGCGAGGAAGAGGAAGAGGCAGACTGCAAGCTGGAGGGCCAGGAGGACTGAAAATACATCTGGGGAAAGAGGAGCATCTGTGGGCCTGGGAGGGAGGGGGGTTGGCGACCAAACTCTGCGAATGTGCTGACAGGAGCACCAAATGCTAATGTGGTAACACTGCCATCATGTAAAATGCCTCCCCACAAAAAAAAAAAAAAAAAAAAAAAAAAAAAAGAGCTGTGGAACTGAAACTAGAGGAACTACTCCCCAGCGGCCCATTGCAAACCTCACCACCCACACTGGTTGCTCTTGCACAAGTGATTTGGCATGTTCTGATTATTATAAAACCACAGAAAACTGCCTCGAAAGGGCACTGCTGTGTGCCACACCAGCACCCCTTCCCCTGCGCTCGCTCCTCCACGTGCTCGGCCATACACCCGGACCGCAGGCAGCAGAGGAGGCTGCTTGTTCTCGAGGGCTGCCCTCCCAGGGAGGGCCAGGGGCTTCTGCAACCCACACGGCACAAAGGTGGGCTATGCCTGTGCTTTGCAGAGGAAAAGTTTGGCTTTCCGTCCTCTTCCAAGGGAGCAGGAGGCCACAGAGTGATGGCAAATGGCTCAGACATCCTGAGGTGCCAAACTCCGGGCAATTACCTGGAGCTGG